TACATCATTTATAATTATTTTATTTTTTCATGTTTGAAGAAACATTTCTAAAACTATACTTTTATGCATTTACAGGGTCACAGTTGCTCTGTCTTCTCATTCTCAAGCTTTTTGTTCTTTCTTTATTATAGTCAAGGTAAAGATGGATGATAAAGAGAGAGAAAGGGAGGATCTAAAGTTAAGCGCCACAAGTTGGATTTTTACGGGCCGCTAGGGACTTAACCTCACAGTAAACATCAGCAGGAGTATGGAGCTGGTTATGAACAATAAATTGAATGGTTTTATTTTCATTGGACACATTGTACAACCACATTTTTGTACAGCTCTTGAATGTTACATTTACTAGTCCAGACGTGCACACATGAACACTCACACACAGACCCATGTCATAGTAATGCTCATCTCTTCATTTCAAACTACGCCAGTGTATGTCTTATGTGGTGTTAGATGTTGTGGGGTTCACTTCAGGCTGTGTCTAATCGCACTTTTCTGTTCTCTGTCATTATATCTGAAGGCAGCGCTGCTGTCCTTCACAAAGATTCTGACCTCCTCTCTCATAGATGGTTTTTTGTGAGGAAAGCATAGCTCTGAAGAGATTTCACTCATTAAGCCAATTAATTTATTATATTTGTTAAACGTCATTGAAGCACTCTTATCTTTTACCACAACAGGGACCACAAATGTCATTAAGATGCAGAATTTACAAATCAGACGGTCTTGGTCATCTTTATTGTTAAAATGTTGACAGTTTACTGGGAATTTTCCATCAAAACACAAAGTAACAACATATTTTTACATATAGCCATTTTAAGATTAATATACATCTCCCTAAACATTGAAATAGTAGGGCTGCCGTATAGCTCAGTTGGTAGAGCTGGCGGCCCATGTAGGGGGCTAGTATGCGGAGGACCTGGGTTCAAAGCGGGTCCGGGAACACGTGCCGCATATCAACCCTCTGTCTCCCCCCTTCTAATCTGTCTCTACATCAAAGGCACTGCTTGCCCAAAAACATTAATTAATATTAAACTATATTAATGTATGAATAAAGAGTTGCATGCAGGTAGACAAGTGGAAAATGCAAGGCCCACAGAGCTGTATGATATATCCATGGTGTTAGGGACATGGTTAGAAAACGGACAATGTTCAGCTAGATATCACTGTCCTCGTGTAGAAAGGGTAAATGACCGACAGAGGCAGAATTAGAGTGGTGCAGTGACGGGTCCTAAAAGAGTGACGAGTCCTAAAACCCGGAAGTGAGTTAGCATTTTACCACTTGCGGTTCCCTCGTCTCAGAGTCAACAGGATTTCTCCATAGGACCCTGCTGTACTCGGCTGTAGTTCGTTTATAGCATAACGTTAGCATTTTGCTTCTGGCGACTAGATTTATGATTCGAAAATTATAAAAGTAGGGTTGACGTGTGGATATTATCCGGCTGAACAAAACGTGCATTTATTACAGATCTTATTTTTTACAATATTCCAAAATCCTATGGAGAAATCCCATCGCTTTTTTGTCGAGGGAACCCATGTGCAGCTTACTTTCGGGTCGGCCTACACAAATACGTCATCCCTGCAGCACCACTCTATTAACTGTCTCTAAAGTGTGTTCCAAGGGAGCTAGCCACACATTAATCCTTCAGTAACAAAACACAAGTCAACATGTGAATTGCAACAAAGTTACTTACTAAAGCAAGAACACCAGAAAAACCCAATTCTTCAACAATACTAAACCAGTAGCAACTTATCTACTGTTAAAGCAGATTTTATATATTAGTGTACAATGTTCAATTTTAAACTGAGTAGATAGATATTTCCATAGCATGGAACCACATAAGTAATCAATCAAAAGTGATGTATAGGTCTCTCTCAGGCTTGCTTAGTAGCTTGGGAGCTTAGAGATTAAATGAAATGCAGGCCTCTTTAACATACACCAGTGCGCTTCTTATACAAGGGGTTTTCTACATGTGCACTATTGATGTGGTCTTTTTTGTGACTAAGTATCTAAAATACTTGCTTTTCTTTAGGCTGCATAGCTGCTTTAGCTGACAAAGCTAAATAAAGTCTGACCATCAAGTGGATCTTCTAGCTTTAAAGTGGCTGTGCCATGCTTTAAAATCCCTTTCCGACAGCTTGGTCGAGTCTGGGCCATATATAGTAGGGGTAAGAGGGAATGTTAACTGAGCATTGTGTCAGTATTGTATTTCAATGCACGGAAAAAGTGTTCATCCCTGAGGTCATAAATGAGAGGTCTCAAACATCTTGAAGCAAGAGTAAATGTTATGTAATTAAAGTACCTAATATTGATGAATAACATAAAATTAACCGGGAGGATTGCAGTTTCTATAAACGGGCACCACAGCTGGATGAGACAGAGAAGCAGCTGGAAAGCATGAAGAATGACCGTTATGAGCCCTCTCCATGTTGACTTGTTATCCTCTCCTGATGCAGCTTTGGCCACCTTCACTATACCAATGTAGGATAAAATGATGGTTACAAACATAATTAAGAAGTAAAACTGAAATACCACTAATTTAATGTGATCCTGCCACCGGAGAAAGACAAATAATTGCATGGAGCAAATCTTGTCTTGAGTATACATATTAAGGGGGGCTGATGCAAAGAAGACGGAGAGAACCACAATACAGGGAACAGCGCTGAGGCCATGAATGATGAGGATGCAGTGCACAGCGCTGCTTGTGGAGCACAGTTCTCCGTGTCGCAGAGGCATGCAGATGGCAACATAACGCTCCAGAGTCATTGCTGTCAAAGTAATCGGTGTGACAAAAGAGTACAGAGACAGAAGAATATAGAGAATGATACACAGGCCAATTTTCATTGTGAACTGAAAGTAGCTCAAGTTGAGCAGGACATCAGACATGATTAAAATAAAGCTATCAGAGAATAGTGTTACAGCAAATAAGAAGTAGCGCATGGTTGTGTAGAAGAGGTTCTTTGAAAAAAAGGTCAAAATGAGCAACAAGTTGATACAAAGGAACACCACCACCAGAATCTGCACTATGATGACCCGGTAATCAAACTAACGCTTCCCAAACTTACCACCAGCCAATGAATTGTTATCTGACATATTTTGTATATAAAATGTGTGTTGCACTACCAAAATGAAATGATATACCTTCTCATATCAAAAAAGATCATTAAACCTATAACATTAACTACGTTCAACAATATAACATAAACAAGAATAAACTGTTAAAATGTGCATCGTCGTAAACACAGGTCAACATGAGAGAAAAGTTCATTTAAAGTGTGATGTGTAGTGTGAGTTGACCTGCTAGATCTGGTCAATGGATTGCAGCAGCTTTGGAAGACAAATGTATTCTAGTGAGCTCTTTTGAGGGAGGGATTGTTAGACAAGCTTGGCTATTGGTCTGTCAAAAACATGGACTCTGGGGGAAACTATGGTGTTAGTCTCACAGGTATTCCCAAACAAATGTCAAGAGTCAAGTCATATAATTTCATAAAACACAAGGCCCAAACCAATGCAGAGTGACTTGTATCTGTAAATCTGCATCTGTGCCTCTACATCAACTTAGAATTGTTTTATGGTTTAATATTTGTGAATCTCAATCCTTTTCTGTGTTTTAAGATTGGCTTTACCATACTTTGTAACTTAAAATCAACAAAAACAGACACTACTTAACCAGTACTTTATCAAATATGATGCAGAATTGAATGAGGGATTTGTATCTCTTAATTATAATCTGTTATCATTGATTAAATTACATACAATGGCTTAATAACTTTTATAATCCTTAAATGTTCTTGTAAATCGTCAATTTACCATTTATAATTATGTTTTGGGAATCTCAGAATTTGTGTAGATCCTTTTTACTCTTTTGTTTTACTGTGCCATTGTATATCACACAAGTGCCAGGCAAACCCATGCTCTTGTGTACTGTAAATAGTGGTAATGCCACATCTATGGATGACAACAGAAGAAGAAGAAGAAGAAGAAGAAGAAGAAGAAGAAGAAGAAGAAGAAGAAGAAGAAGAAGAAGCCTTCGCCAGATAAACATTTAGTGCCCCGTCCAAAGCTGCGATCTTTGAAAATAGGATAAATATACAATGAAGTATTTCATTGTTCTGTGTTTCATGTTAATCAAAAGAGCGAAATCAACAAGGTTTTTCCATTTTAATGTATGAAGCAGGGGGAAAGTATGTTTTTAAATCAAGAAACTGCTGATTTACTACAGTAATATTCACATAATGTAGAACAATATCTGAAATCATATCAAACTGGACTAGTATCTGATAAAAGGTTGTTTCCTTCAAAAGTCTGCATTGATTTGGGGACATTAGGTCACAAATCTATTAAAGGTGACCTATCATGCTATTTTTAGGCAATAGCATAGGTTTCTGATAGGGCCGTGGGTGTAAAGCCAGCCTACATTTCCGCTATTACATCACATCGGACGCAAATCTGGATCAGCTCCGTTGTAGCCCCGTTTTTAGAGATTTGGGTACGGAGGAAAAGAGAGAGGGTTTTATTCTCTGACGCTGCGTGAGTTCTCCGACACACCGGGGACACATATTTATGTATAAAAGACATCAAAAATTGCATTTTGCATGATAGGTCCTCTTTAAGTTGAAGGGTGTAAACAAGTTTAAATAATTCCCCCTTGCTGTGTAGCAGCTAGTTATCATTAAAGGGGCACTCTGCTGGCTTTACACATGAAATTGTGTGATAACTAAATTCTAAATAAGTTGAAAATTCTAATAAAATAATAATAACTGAAAAATAAATGATAATCTTAAAATATATAAACAAGGAGGACATTAGAAACGTTGACTTTAGGGAGGTGGGAGTTTTGTAAAGGCTGAGAAAATTGACCCTCATGATGTCATAGTGATGTCATCAGGTGTTTACACTTGGAGACTCAACATTTTAACAGAAAGCAATACAAACTGAGCGAGATGCATATGGATGGGTATTTACTATACACTGTATATGGTATTT